GGCTGGCTGACTGACTGACAGGCTGGCGGAGGATCGCATTTGGTAGTGGAAGGTAGTGTGTGTGAGAATGTGTGGCCGCTGTATGCTAATTAAGAGGGTCTGTACATTTTGAGAGAACGTACAAGGACAGCCGTCATCAGCTCGGGCTCATCATCACCACTGAAGAATGAGGTAGCCGGAGAGACTGATCAGGATGCTCCACCTCCTTCTCCATGGTGCTATGTGATGTATTTTATGATATCGTCATTTTGCTTTGATTCCATGCCATTCTCATTCTTTGCACTCTCCCTCGGTGGTAGATGGACGATAGCGGAGAAGAAGCGAACGGCATCGGAGGTCTTGAAGCCATAAAAAAGTCCGAAATAGTCATGGAATCGCATAGATAGAGAACTATCATAAGATATAACCGCAACAAGTAAATACCAGTAAAACTAGTAAAATTAAAGTTGTCAGAGCATCCGTGGGAACAGAAACATTCCATTTTTCATTAACTAGCGAAAGTAATGATGAAAAAAATCAGAAAAGGACGAAAAAGAGTAATTATCGTTCAAGAAGGGACTGAATCGATCGATTGCCGAAGATTCTGTTGGCCGATTGCCAAAAAGAGAAGTGCACTAAATCAAACGAACACCGCACAATTCAATGAGGGGTCGAGTACGGGGGGTCCCAGCAAGTCTCGACCACCTTGGCGCACCATGTAAAGATCGTTGTTGAAGAATGCGCGACTCCCGTAAAAGGTCAACGAGTCAGACGGGTTTATCGATTACCCACTCAGAGGTGTGATCTACATCGAAAAATCAAACATTCAATGCAAATCAACCCGGTTATCAGTGGACATTTTTCACGATCAATTATCGTTTGTTGGGGTGATCTACAAAATTCAAGGGAAAACTTGTAGATAAAATTCAATTGCATTTATTTTTGAAATCCGCGGATGTATTCGAATAATATCGGCCGTGCATGACGTTGGATGATATGATTATCTCAGTCAACAATAAATCGAACGATAAATGGCATCATTCAAGATTGTGGCAATAGAAAAACGTTTATCGATCGAAGTAGACCATGTAGCTGACGCAAAGTTACAGAAATGGCAGAGGACGTATCACATAGACAATTACCGTAATTATAGCCATACTCCGAAAAAACCCAAAAATGTCACTGCAACTAACTATGAAGTACACAAGTTTTCAAAAACCGAAAGTCAGGGTCCAAAGGGTTATTTGTGATTACTGATTGTGAATCTATCCGAATACGTTACTTGTAATGAAGTAAAAATCGATCGAATAGGTTTCTAGAGGTTGTCAGGGCGATTAGGCCTAGGCGGGGGGACCTGCGCGACTGACAGGGACTCCCACACGGTACAAGGTCGATCGTAATTGAAATAGTGCCAACTGGGTTCACCACGCGTACAAGGTACATGGAACTTTCTAGAATTGCTTTTGGTAACTGGTAATTCCATACATCATCGATCAGGGTGCCGCTTTTGAATAAATTATAGTAGCACCAGAAATTTGAATACAAAAGCGTCCAGTTAGTAGCAATTTGTTCGATGTGACTCATTGTCGAATCAAGAATGAATCAATTTTAGCTTATGAGGGAAATGTGAAGGCATTTGAGCAGGAGAGATTCCTAAGAGTTCAAGATTGACGTCAAGACCGACTTCAGCAATCGTCCTCCCACCCTATGTGATAGGACGATCCATCGCCAATGCCTCCATGTTCGCTGTAAACATGTTTTCCTTGAGAATGGACAGACCAAAGAGGCATGGCACTCATTCTCCTTACAGTCAGTGACTGTCTGAGGTAAAAGGCCAGATGCATATCTGGCCACATAGGGAGAGGTGTCGGGGACGGGTGTGATCATGGTTGACGGGCCGAACCGGTTCGGACCTCATAAAATGTAAGATCGCGGCAATCATTCGAGACCGAAGAAGTATTCAGAGTTTGTCGGTCACATAAATCCATTCCAGGAAGTTAACTTCTCCTGATATTGATTGTAATTAATTGAAGTCGAATGATGAAGAATTTTACACTTTTATCGATCATTTTTCGGATGCGCCACGCTTTCAATTTCCACCTAGGGACGTGTTAGTACTTGACTGAGTGAGCAATTGGCCTATAGATTGGCAAACACTGACTTGGAAAAGCTAAGTGCTATCCACTTTTAATTCTCCTTAGAGATTAGCAATTAGCGACCGGTATCAAAAAAAGGTCTAATTGCCTAATCAAAGAATAATCTTGCCGCGGATTTGATCCTCAGACCGTTTAGGTGGTAGTGTCACTCTTGCCATTGTACAATCCCTCGTCAAAAACAATTAGTATGAAAAAGAGGGACATTTTCTATTTTGCTTCTTTTCCTAAAATCCAGACTTGTAAAGTCATTTCTAACCAGTATGAACAACTAGTAAGTAGCTAAGCAGCTTCCTGAAATTGAAATTTACCCTTTTAGTTGAAACGCTGCCTTCACTGTCTATTGTGTCACATGTAAAACACCAGTTCGACAAATAATTTCACTAAACAATCAACAAACCAATATAAACTGGATTACAATCAGATAATACAATAGTATAGGTGAGAATTACTGAATAATCCCCAATTGGACTACAACACCTATAAAGTGAAATACATCATTCATTCATAAATCACGTTAAAAGAGGACTCGTGCAGGAGGAATTTCATCACGGAACATAAGCTAGCTTGGGAAGCTTGCAAGGACACGACTCCTAAAGAAAGGAAAAGCGAAAAAAGAAAAAGAAGTGAAGAATAAAAAAGTTTCTTTATTCAGATGACAGTTATTTCCTGCCTGAGTACATACTGGTAGACGCTACGCGCGTACTACCTAGGGTACTCTGATTGGTCGGTTGTTAGCACTGACCAATCATGAGCTTTGCATGCACCGCATGCTTCAGCACAACTTTGCACTGAGATTGGAATAGATAGCATTCTATTTGGACCAGGCAGGAAATCAGACCGGATGATGAGAGAGGGCAATTCCAGATAAAAAGGCATCTGATGTGATTTTGATTAGGGATTTCATCAATGTTATGAATAGAGATATCTCAAGCAGAAGATCGTGAATACTGTAATCATAGACGAGACTGTAGAAGAAGAGCTGAGCTCTTCGAGTTCTCGAATTTTGGCTTCTCCTTCTTCCGTGTCACGTGCCATTTTATCATACGATTCCTGAAAACTCTATTAACATAAATCAGGTTGAGCAAAATTCAGGTAGATTAAGAATTATTGTCAGCATTGATTTTTTACAAATAATCAATAATAACATAAGCTATTAAATACTCGATACTGTCACAACGGTCGCAGAATAAACGATCAAGGAAGATACAAACGATCTCCTTTCCCTCACCCACCTCAGCCCCTCCCTTCCCCTCGATTAATTATCCAACAAAATATGACGTAATGTCACAGTTTGTAATTTACAGAAAGGATTTTTGCAGTTACAAAATATCGCACTCACCGTGAGCATTTTTCCTATTCTGACCAGTCGTTCTTCACTGCCCTCAAGAGCCTTGCCGACTACTTCGCTGATATTTCGGGTTTCGATTGGTACCCATGCGACCCTAGGCCGATCTATAATATAAAATTGTAATCAAGGGTTACTTTCCGGAAGTAGAATTCTCCGTTCAACTTCTTCAGCTGTTCGAAAAATTTCTGTTGCTGGACCGTAGACACTTGTTTTGAAGGTATCTTTCCGTCATTTTGTTTTCTCACACGGCTGTTTTAGTTTCTAATTTATTCGAAATTCCCTCCTTTTCATATTCTGTTCTGAGTTGCATATTTGAGTTTTTGTTGCTAAGAAAAAGACAAAATTCTTGACACATCAAAAGCCTGAAAGAATTCGAAGATGCGCCATGTATTTTGCGGTTTTCAAAATCGCAGAGGTGCATTCTACTCCAGCTAATTTCCAAAACACTTGCCTACACCTAAGTTCTGCTTACAGATGAACGGTCCATCCATTTTACGTATTTTGGCAGTTTTATAGATTTCCTCCATTACTGGTCAACTTTTTTGGTGTGTCCGAGTGGGAGCCGCAACCAAAATGAAAGTAAAAAGAAGTAATTGTAGAAAGTAAAAACGAGTGCAACTAAGCCTATGGGTAATAGAAATCCGACTACTTTACAAAAATACCAGCTGAAACCCATCAGTCAAATATTCTTAGCCATCTGAGCCCTTTCATCCATTTTCAGGGCTGTCAATAAGCGAGCGAATGTCGCAGCACAGAATGTTTCAACCCTCTAGAGACCCTCTTAGCATCTCGGCGCGTGCGAATTTTCTGGCCACATCCAATTGTCGTCACAGCACTTTGGACAAGCCCCCAGAAATTCTTCGAATAAAACCATTAGAGCGAGCAAAATGCTCCGGAAAATATAAGTCGATAGTGCACTCCCTGCTGGTAGGAAAACTAGCCACATTCGAGTTGAAATGAAACTTATAGAGATGTTTGGAAAAGGAGAAAAGGAATTGAGGGTTTGGACAAAAATTTTCTTATGCAATTCAAAGTAAGCAGAAAGTGTAGTAAAGGCTACATATGCAATTCATGATGGATTGTGGGCGGAGACGAATGAGCCGTGACACTTTTCCCATTGGTCGGTTCCTTTAACCTGGTTGATAGTTGACTCGAAAAGGAATTTTCTTAGGACATCTGTCAATTTTCGTACAAGGTGACTTCACCCACGCACTTAGTGTGGATGACGAATTCGTAAGAATTTTGCCTTCATCAAATTAGTTTCAAATCACCAGCTAGAAACTCGCAAACTGCTTTAGGGCAAATGAAATCTAACTCCCCAGTCACCTTTCTGAACTTCCTTTTGGTTTTGATTCGATTCAGGGAAAATTTTGCTGCTAAGGAAGGGTAAGGGTACTTCTGTATGTGACAGTTCTGTACAACTATGTATTTCCCGTCAGAAGTTCACTGACGCAGTCATGACGCCTCCATTTCAAAAAGATTACTCCAAAAATTACTAGTACAAAATACCACCACCTAAACATCGGTATTTGAGTAACCTCTCCGCCCCTGTTCCGTCCCCCTCTTCGACAGAGCATGTTCGAAGTTCCCATGGAACCTTTACACGAAGAAAACATTCCGGAAGTGGAGTTCAAAGTGCCGCAGAGCTTTTTCTTGTCCCAATAAATTCACTAATGGGGATACGACATCAGTAAGATGTGTCCTCGGCATGGCACAGCTGTCATGGGCTCATTATGTGATGAGAGGTCTTTCAGCTGACATATGGATTATCTAATAGGTTACGACAGCCGTCTTACCCTTCAAGAGGAGGTTCATGCAAAACCGCCTCTTTGAGCCCTTCATTCATTGCAAAATTCCTCGTAGAAGTTTTGTCCATTTATTTTAACAGTTAAAAATAGTTTGGAAATTTCTTGTTTCTTACTACGAATAAATTTCGAGTTGATAAGCGCAAGCACCTCTTTTCAAAATTGCCACAATCTTAGGGTTCTTGTTGTCGCACCTACTAAACCCCGCCCACTGAAAGATCACGCCCTTTCAGTGGAAGGAACAAATGCAGCAAGACATTTCCTCTTGCATAATATTGATAAAAATGCAAATTAAGAAGTACATGACGCATCTGATTATAAATTTAATAATAATAATAATAATAATAATAATAATAATAATAATAATAATAATAATCGCTCCTGCTGGCATCTCCTTATCATCTTCTGTATCCTGTTAAGCTACATCTGTAACATCTCTCTGTGAAGTTTTCAAGTTTCAAGGCAGATCATTATGGTGGGTAACTCTGAACGACTTTCTATTAATTTCAAGGTTTCAACTGAGTAGAAGCCCTGGGAAAATATTCAAGAAATCGCTAAAAGCGAAATCGAATTTTCTGCTCGAATTCGCCTCACTTCTACAGCCTTCCCCCTTTCTCAGCCCTCCCTCCCCCTAATAAGATAGAGGCAGTTAAATCGTATTGATGTCAAAGAACAATGTAAACACTAAACAAACACATGTAGCTGTCCATCATGGTGTCCAGGACAACTGTTGAGGACCCCTTTATCGCCTAAGGCCAATGACTCTCAACTTAGAATTTCGCTAGGCTGCTCACCATTGCTCTGTGCCTCTCACGAGCTTTCAATGGAAGCGGGAGAACGATTAAATTTGCGAGACACAAAATTTAGCTTGACAATGTCGGATGAGGAAAGAAACATCAGAATGGTTGATGAACATTCGGCCAAAGAGCGAACACAAAGGCACAACTGGTTCGAATCCTCGAAGATTCAGCTCAAATCCTCAAAATTTTTAAGATCGCGTCATAAATTGAAATGTAGTTATAAGGTAGTCCCAGCAGCGACGACCCTTTTATGACCTCTTTCTTTTCGGGACCCAACCAAATCTAGTGCAGTACAATGACAACGGGCGCCGTTACCACACACATGGTCCTAGGATCAACTCTGATGGATTGACCAAATGTTACATCACATCATGTTTCGGAGGATTTACATTATAATGATCGCCAAATCTGCATTCAATTAGGGCATCCCTTGAGAAATGAAATATCGAAGGGAAATCTCGACAACGTATATGCCAGCTGCACAACAAAAAAACGCCGGAAATCGAATGCGGAAGTCATGCACGGCGCTACCCAGGGTGATATATTGCACTTAAGACCGACGTTAATAAATATTCGAATGGGTCAATTCGTAAAGCATCTCATAAATGATTAATAATTGATATTACCACAATTTATATTTCTCACAATTCTATCTACTCATAAGACAATTTTGATCTACATAGTGATTAACGATCAATATTGGGTGCTTACAACTGCTACCGCAGTACTTATTTGAATGTTCATTTCAAATTGAAAATTATTACCGTGGTCCGAGTAAACAACCATTGATACGGTCATCAATATCAGCAGAGAAGTGATCTGCATGGCGCAATCCCTGAAAATTCAGATTGGATCGGAGCAGTGCAATAGTGTGAAGGTTGCGATGATTGCTGAAAACGCTATGGAGCGATAATTCTTGGAAAGATGCTAATTAATTAGGATTATGTTCAACACATAAACATAAACAAAGCCAGTAATACTGGTGAAGAGTCACAAAGGATTGTTTACTTCATACGATAAATAATTAAATAAAAAGGAATAAATGGTCGCACAAACAGGGAACAAAAGACCATTGGCAGCTCCATGCGGTTTCAATACTCTTTATTACGAAAAGAATAAAACCCAGTAGTACCAGTAACGTAACATCAGTAACATTATTTCACTATGGAACTGCTCACTAGGTGACCCCCATGTCCATCGCAAAAGTACCAGTGACGAAAGAGCTGAGTTGATCGTCATATGTAACTGATACGAATAGATCCAGTTATACTAGTAGCTATGTGGTTACTTGTAAGACATGTATAAAACTAACCAAGAACAATAGAGTTTGAAAGCCCGGGAACTCTGAAATTTGGCCTGGATCTCTACTTTTACTGGTATACTGGAAAGCTATGAGTTCTACGCGTAATAGCTGAGCTACAGAAGATCACGATATGACCTAGGAATTACTTAAAAGTTTCAAGGTCAAGTTCATTAATTGCCAGGCTAAGGTTGAAGTCTATCTTTCTAAGCAGAAGTCCATTCCATTGTATACCTCAATGAATCAGAACAATTAGTTCCAGACTTAAAAGGAGAATTTGAAGAAATGGCTAGACAAGAAGGCAGTAAAGTAAGTACTGTAGTAAAGAGAAGTACATGGTAAATCATACTATTCACTGAAAACGGTGTTTTACAAACAAAACATGCATTTAAGAATTTGTTAGAGATTTTCCCTCCCCCTGCCCCCAACAACAGTCACACCCTCGTCTTGACCCAGTAGCCCTCTGACCCTAACCTCATCCCCCTGTCCCCCCTGTTTGCAGTCAAACGTAGTGCTTCAAGCATAACAAAATGCAATAGCGTCATATGTAACATTTATTGTGTAAGAAAAGAAAAAAGCGTGAAATTC